CCCTACACTGTTTCCTGCAGGTTTCTGCCACCCCTTTTCTCCGCTGGATCTTCTTTTTCCTGAGCCTTGTCCTCCCCTTTCTAAGTAAATTCACCCTGTTTCAAACAGCACAATCTCTACTAGCTTCTGGATAACGGATACATGTAAGGTAAATTTGTTATTTTGGAAATGCCATTATTCTACCCTTATATGTCATTAGCAACTGCCTATATAGAACATTCTCAGGGGGATCATTTTCCTTCAAACTTTAAAACATTACCTCATTGTTTTCATGTTACTTTGTTGGTAATGGGAAATTTGGGTGAAACCTCACAAGGCTGAACAAGAGCTGAGGAAAGAAAAGTCACTATGAACAACAGTTCCCAACTCACTCAGGGCCAAGAATCACTTGTGTCCTCCCATGCCAAATGGAGAGCCTTTGTGAGCATGTTAGGCATTCAGTAGAGACCCTAGAAAGGGTAAAATTCAGTTGTGGGGCCAAATAAAGATTAAATAACACAACTGTTTGAGAGAACTCACCTGTAAAGCCATACTGCATCGTGCTATTCTGTGGAAACTGATTATCAGTTGTATTTTCACTGTGATCACTGGTCTATTTAAGTACTCTACTTACTTTCTAGTCCATTTGAGTAATTCATATTGCCCAAGCAAGTTTATCCACTCACTTGACAAATGCTTTTTGAGCATATACTGTGCTGGGCACTGATCTGGTCACTGGAAGATATCAGCAAACAAAATACATACACCCTGCTCCCATGTGCATCTGTTCTGATGTGGGAACAGTTCTCCCAGTTAGTCCATATTTATCCACTTCACCCTTCACAAAAACTGCCTAGAATCCCACAGGCTGCACATGCTGTGTTTTAACCATTACTACTTTGGCAGATATTTAGGATGTTCTGCTGTTGACTAACCCATGTGGCAGTAAACATTCTCATACTTATCTTTGTTTTTGTAGGTTTGTTCCTACACGTGAAATTGTTGGGTCTAAGAGCATATCTACTTAAAATTTTGGTAGATACTGCCAAATTGCCATATAAAAAATGATATCAATTTACATACCCTCTAATGGGGATATAAAATTCCAGTTTTCCATATCTTCACCAACTCTGGAAATTATTTGCCAGCTGAATGAGTGAAAAATATTCTCGTTATTTTAATTGACATTGCATCCCAGCTAGTGACATGTAACATCTACCAATAACCTTACTGGCAATTTTATTTCTTCTTCTATGAATATTATTTTTCTATTGCTTTTATAGTTCTTATTTATTTGGAATGTTGCAGTAAAGTGTAACGATATTTCAGGCTCATCAATAGCACCCTTCTCTGTATCCCAGTGTTCTATATATTTATTTCCTTATATATATCCTGCCATTTTAATGTGTTTATCTTGAGGTATAGATTAGCATTCTAGTCAACATGCTATCTTGAAACAGAAATCCATTCATTTTCTAAAGCACTATATTGTCTATTTTCCTAATATAGATTTATCAAAAAAAGAACATTCAGAAGTACAAGCACCTCTGGAAAATATTGGAAGACAAAAAGAGAAAAAGGAAGGTCAAGAAAAGAAAACGATTTTAATGAAAAAAGAACAAGAATTACCACCAAAAACAATTCAAATAATTCAAATAATTCATCCTGAAAAAGAAAGCAATCAGGAAGATGATATATTAGAAGAAAATATTCAAGGTGTACAAATAAATGACATGGATGAGATGCCTAATAAATATAGTGTTCCAAATGCTAAAATACCTGTAAGACAAAGAAAGCATTATTCATTCACAGAAACTATTGAGAACTTGCATCATGGGCTTCCCACTTCAGGCGGGCCAGCTAATACAAGCAGCACACGATGCCATCGTAGTACAAGCAAACATCACAGCAATGGAGAAGAAATGAAGCTAGAACATTCTGTTAGTGTGTATGAACCTTCTTTTGGTAAGTCTTCCAAAACAAAAGTGAAAGATACAACTTTCAGAGAGAAAAAGAGCAGTCTAATGGAAGAACTCTTTGGATCGGGATATGTCTTTAAAAATGACGAAACAAGTCCTGTTTTTATAAAAGGATCTGAGGAAACTTTGAAAAGTAAGAAGTTGCCTCATCTACCACCTAGTCAGGCCTCCGCCAGCAATGCTTTTGGAGATTCTAAAGTAACTGTGGTAAATTCTATTAAGTCATCTTCACCTACAGAAGGAAAAAGAAAAATAATTATTTAAATATAACTGATATCCTAATACATTCTGGTTTGATGAACTACTTATATCCCCCTTTTTAAATTTTAATGTGTGAAGAAAGTATATGCCTATGTGTGTCTGTGTTTTAGTATTTAAGCTGACGTTAGATAATTAAGATTTTTGTCTTATTGCTAATACAATTTTTTTTTAATTGCATATTAGCCAATGATAACATTTTTTTTCCAGGTCATATCACTTTATTGATCTGCTTTTTTTTTTCCTTTTCTTTAAATTTATTTTTTTTACATTAATTCACTATACATCACTATACATCATTATAGCATACAAAATGAATTTTCCATCCAGAATACACTTTATATTGGCTCAATCAAGCACATCAACATACGTGTCATCAACAAATAATTTTCCACTTATGTCTTGTATATTTTGCCTTTTTTTTTTTTTTTTCTTGGAATCATCTACAAATTTGATCCCCTCAACCCTGTGTCCCACCCTCACCAAATGCCCCAAAATTCTTTCCTCAGAAAGCAAAAACACTAGCAGATGTTTCGTTGAATTGAGTTGCTAAGGAACTTAATTAGTCTAAATATTTCCAATAGTAAGCACAGCTTATATATACATATACATAACTGACTTTAGGCATAAACCTCAGTGAGTAGAATGAACTTACTATAAAGTAGTACCTAGCTGGGGCTATATAGCTTACTGCAGTCATCAAATACGCATTTTTAAAAATTTCTATAAGAACAGTTTTAGTGGGTTTTTTTCCCCTGAAACTTTATAATTAATTTACTTTCATTCCCTGAGCATCATCACAACCTACTAAATGTGGTTTCCCATCAAGAATAAACTGCATAGTGGCTTAATCATGCATGTTATCATCAATAATATTCCATTTCTAGTTTCATATATATATATATATATACACACATATGTATATATATTTTTCCCTCTATTTCTCACTCTCTGCTATCTCCCCCCCCCCTCCCACACTATC